AAAGCGGGATTAGACGAGCAGATCGTTAACAGCGCCCTCGTCATGTTCCTCATCGCCATTACCATCCACCACAAGGGGGTTAAAGGCGCGTGGTCGCCCCACCGCCATCCTTTTACCATTTACACTGGCCAACCCTCGCGCGAAAACAAGATTTTCACAGCCGTCGTCGATGGTTACTTCGCAACCTTTCCCGGCCCTGGGCGAATGCCTGAAATAACGGCTATTGCTGAAGTTAAACCTCACCACAGGGAGGCTGAGATAAACGGCATCCGCATGCAAGAGGCCTGTCAACTGGCTGCGTGGATTAGGGGAAAGCGGACGGGATCCCGTATATTCCAGTGGGTATGGTCGTATGTGCCAGTCCTAACGTGTGCTGGGAGTTATTAGGACCAATAGCCTTATGGATTAATATTATGCCTTCTCGTTGGTTAAAGTGGGAAGAAAAATGCACCCCTGCCACTACGACGTCCTCGAAACGTTTGGTGGTCAATTATAAGGGATCGTAGCTAGATATACATCATTTTGGGAAGCCTTCCTTCCTATGAAGAATCTTTGTCTTCCTTCGCGATTGTTTCCCCACTTTGTTTGTTCCCTTTCGCTATCATTTTATGTTGTACCACGCCGTTCGCCGCTCGCTCATCAGACATCCGGCAATCCCCTCCCATTCCCTTTCCACATCAAAAGCCTTGCCATCATAGGATTTGAACCTCGCCTCCCTTGATCAATGCAGCCCACTCGAGCCAAATCACACAGCTGCTAATTAAATCCACATTCGCACCTTGGAGAGGTGACTCCAGCATGAGCCTAGAAGATCTGAGCTGGTCATGCTGCGGACTTCCATCAGGCTCGTCATCTCTCGCATTGCCCACTTGCCGATGAGGCTCGGGGTCTGGTTCGACTCTACCAGGCCCTCTGCCACCAGCCTGCAACCCCGTCCCTGATAAGCCGGTGAAGCTCGACCAGTCCGGAATCCTCGTCGTCGCTGCCCCAGCATTCTCCAATGCCGCGGATGACGACAGGATGGTAATAATCTGCACTCCGGGTTCTCTGAAGAATAAAGCGAGCAGCGTCATTGTACTCTGTGCCCGGGTCAGCATCCCTGGGCCACTCCACGCCGGGGGGGAAGGCTGGCCTCACCCTGGGCTTTGATGTTGCGGAGGGTCCGCGCCCTCACGATGGCGCGATTGGGTATGCAGCCCAAGACGAGATATTCGTCGGGCGCAGCCTCGGCGGTGATTCCCAAAGCGCTAGTCAGTAGTCGTGCCTTGAACACGTAGCTGGTTTGTTCTTTTGTACCACTTCAGGCCCTGTACTTCTCCGCATCACTGGCGCCTGTCTACCTACGGTACGTGATCTTCAATAAATCTGATGACATCATCCGTAGCGTTCTGCTCCTCGCTTTCGGAATCCCAAAGCCATGCCTTCTCTTCGACGTACAGTTATCATCACTTCCGCCGTCCTCTTCCTCTCCCGATTCTTCCTCCTCAGAGACTTCTGTGTTGGAAGCCGGAGGCGAGAGGAGCGGTATTGGGTACCCAGCGCGGGTAGTGCCTGACTCTGTCGGGACATCCAAAGCAGGTTCGTAGTGTATTGCGTCTCCGGGAATGCCGTGGAGGATGATCAGCCCGTCCTCCGCATATCTGTGGCTGATGCCCAGTTTGGCGACCAAAAATCCAGCGTCGAAGACGTAGACAGTGGCGTCCAGCTTCTTGGGGTCGATCTCGTAAATCTCGTAGGGGCCCAATCTTTTTCTCGCTCAGTTGATCGCGTGGGAGTGGCTGGTGAAAACGGACAAAAAGCGACTCGCCCGTCGACACCACCAGTCGAAGTGATCGCTAACCGCCCTCCTCATGCTCGATTCGCTGCGGATTTGGCAGGTCTTGTCCGCTGCCATAAAGGCACGGGAATCTGGGTCCCAGGCGAACTGTGAGTTCAGATGCCATACCTTCCAGACCTTGGGCGGTAGCGAGGTGCATCGGTAGGAGTCCAGATCAAAAGCCTCTGCCATTTTGTTCTCGTAGAGATCACGGGTGGCTTGTTGACAAGGCTACGGAGCCCGGCACTGGCAACACATCGCGCTCTCTTGCCGACATCGAGGGAGGGATGGGTACAAGTACCCTGGCGTCACCCGCAAGGGAGAAGGATTGCGAGGCCTTTCTGGGCATCCCATCCACGGGCGCTGGCAGTCTCATCTCATCCATAACCTCTGAGGTTAACCTTGATGACCGTGACGCCGCGCTTTGCCGTCAAGGGTGACCCTTGGCTTTTTCAATCACCATCTGCGAAAATTTGGTTATAGGTATTTTAGTCGTTGTATCGCTTTGTATCTCTTTTCTATCACCTATGTAATGATCGCACCGCAGTTCTCAAGCCACGCCTTTGTGGTGGCGCCCCCGCCCCCGGACAGCAGCCTACCACCCGACCAGCTCCCTGTCCGTTATCAAGCAGTACGTCGGCTTGGGAAATAGCTGGTTTTTCACGTCCGCGTACTTTCTCGCGCTTTCGTCCACCCGGGCCCAGTCGAGCACCGAGGTGCCTACACATCTCCCGTCATGTTTGATGGCGTTGAGCGCCTGTCTCGCCCAGATCATCGACATCGTCGCGGGGCTGCCGCCCTGGACCAGCTGGACGGTCCTCAGGAGTGTGGTCAGACGCGAAAAGTCCGTAATTTTGGCGATCAGGATGCGGGCGAGGAGGTAGGGACGCGCAGAAACATCTTGCGTTTCCACGGTCCCATATCTCCAAATGGGGATCACAGTGTTTCCGATCTTAGTTTGTCCGGGTTCCACCACATATCCAGGTACCGGGGAGCCGTACTCCTTCTTGGGGCCTATGAGGAACCCATAGGCAAACCTTTTATCGAGTATGTTTTAGCTCGTCCTCCTTTCCGGGGGGTGCGCATCCCCTTTGCGTCACGGAGTGCTACGCACCACAACTCGGGATCATCCTGGATGCCACTGGGGTAGACGGCCCTTATTTTTGGCCTGTCAGCGAGATATAGCGGGTTCCTCAAGTCAGTCAAAGGCTATTACAGGTAAAGTCTTTGCTTGTCGCCCATGATGCGGGTTCGCCGTGGTGGGCTGGAATGCTGGTAGACGAAGTGGCCGGAGGATGGTGGGCAGACGACGGTGATGGCGCATGACAAGAAGAAGGGGGAGAAAAGAAGCCGAGAGGGTATTTATATCGTCATGTACGCCCCAGGCCCAAATCACTCGCTCAGAGCGACGACGGTCGCCTCTCCCGAGAAGCACACATGCGTGTGTGAGAGCCATCTGTTGAAGGAGTGACCGTGTTTGCAGAAGGGTGATTTCGACGCGGTTACCACTGCGGAAACACGATCACCCTAGGCCCAGAAGACCATCGTCCTGCCCTGCCTGTCCTGCCCTGCCCGCCCTGTGCCATCGTTCAAACTTTCATGCTTGTACATCTCAGACCGACCTGCGCAACCGTCGCAACCGCATCACAGCCCATCCCCCATCCCGCATCAACAACACACGTGTTACCAAGTCATCCACCTGCATCGCCGTTTCCCGAAACCCCTCCTCTGGGGAACCCAGCGTGTCGCGCCGCAAGGGCTAGACTGGTCATCCACGGGTGAGATGGGGGAGGCCAGGTAGGACGATTGGATGCCGAACAGTGCAAGGTGATGGTGGGTTCCGATAGGACTGGGCATTCAATCACATACCTCTGCTCTCGGCAGGTCATTTTGCAAGAGTGATTCCGGCACTCCCTTCCTCCGCTGCATAGCATGGGATCAACGGTGTTCGTGGCACTCCGACTTCAACCATCGCCCATCAAGGTGCTGTCCTCCAGCTGGTGACCATGATGTGCCTGAAGAGGGAAGCCTCTATAAGTTGCTTATCTACCTATTTGCTCCATACTGCCCTCCCATGGGTCCGCGCCTGATCCAAGATTGGAATTTAGTGGATCATCTACTGATAAATGCATTTGTTTCTCTACCCTCATTGATCTATATTGGTTAGGACACTGATCTGGTCCAGGGGAGGCGGCGGTGACGGTGCTGGACGCCTAGTTCTGCCGTAGCTTTTATACAACCGCGACTGGCTGGACCTTGCGGTGCTGAAACACCACCGGGCAAAGCGGGCCCTGTCGGATATTGGGCAGAATGCATGATCTTCGGCGGGGTCATGGTTTTTGATCGGGGCAAGTCCGACAGTGAAGTAAGACACTCACATACATTTGCTCATGCTTGTGTATCATGCCACCCTCGGCTACTAATTTACACTATATCCACCGACCAACTACCAACTCCGCGCTCTGTTAACCCTGCATCTTGGATTCCGTCGCCGGCCTTAAACCCAGTCGTGGTGCAAGTGGTTCAGTGTTGGGAGGCCTTGGAGGGCAAGACGTTGCATTATGTTTAAGCTGTTAAAAGTACCAAGTGTAGGCCAGCCGTCCCCTTTTATCTGGCATCTCTCATAGAACATCGTTAAGGAGCGTGTGAACACAAATACCAAACACCAACTCCAACCTCACTCACACACACACACACATATATATATCTCCCACCCGTCCCCCTTACGCGCACAGCGTCAGAGTCACGCTCCGCGACGCCGTGCACACCTTGACCTGGCTGCCGGCGGGCGGGCTGCCCTGCGGCCACTGGATCTTGGGGCAGGACGCCTCGTCGCTCGCGACGACGAGGTTGCTGCCCTGGAGCGCGTTGCCGAAGACGCTGCTGAGGTCATACCACACGTTTGGCGCGTCCAGGTTGTAGGCGAAGATGAGCTGCGGGCTGCCGTTGAAGAGCCCGTCGGGCGCGCGCGTCACCTTGAGCGCCCGCCCGCCCGTCTGGGGGTCGCGCGCGAACCCCTCGGCGAAGGTGCCGCCGCCCGCGCCGAGCGTGTAGCCGGGCGACACCGAGGACCCGACGGCCCAGACGGTCACGGGGAACGAGCACTTGTTTAGCACGCGCGCGACCGGGGTCGAGCCCGTGCCCGTGGCGGCGGCGAGGGGCGCGGCGAGGGCGGCGACGAGGGCGGCGGCGGCGGTGGGGGCGTGCATTGTGGCGGGTGTGTTTTGGTTTGGGGAGAAAGATGTGTAGAAGTTGGTTTGCTGTGTTGAAATATCTTGTTGGTTATGAGCGAGTGAGGAGATCAGGTAGTGATATTGCCTTGAGTCTGTCCAGGAGGGCAACATCACCACTGATCAGCAGCGGAACCATGCGCCTTTTATGCCCGGCCACCTCGCAGGTTCGTGTCCTTTCCAAATGCGGCCCATCGGGGGGACCTTCCTACGCTCAGCTCTCCCCACAGATCACCGTTGTCAGGGCGGCGGCTGAAAGCGAGAACACACGAGGTCATCGGCTGGGCGTCGGACAGGCTCGTGGTGTAGCACCCAGGCCGACGCGACCCTGTTCTCCACGCCGCCTTCTTCCATTCCAGCACGCGCGTAGGATCGACCCACGATGACACCCGATATAGTAGAGCAACAGCCAAGCCCGGTCGGTTCGTGACGTATCACAGACCCCCCCGGCTTCGTTCCTGTGTGCTCCCACTTTGCCCCAGTTTTCCCCGCCCTTGTCGTCGTGATCTGTAATACGAAGCACCGCTGCTCCATGCGTGTTCTCTTTTTTTTCCCTACTGCATGCTGCAATGCAGTGCACCCCCAGCAGGCCGCAGCATCACAGCTCCTTCACGTGGCCAAAACCCGTGCCTGTAGCTGCGGAAGGAATCGAGAAACCGCACATTATGTCCCGAAGCTGAGAGTGTTCTGTCACCGATATTGGCATTCCCAAGCTTTCTCGCGTCAGCATGCGCTGGGGGAGCCTTGGATGCTACTATGCCGTAGACGCAGTGCTGCCCCAGGCAGGGGGGTGCCGCGACTGTCTTGGCCGCGGAATGGGCGGATGGCTGATGGGCAGAGGAGGCATGGCGCCTCTGCGGCTGACGCTCCGGATACGAGAAGGCTGCGGTTCCCCAAATGGCCGAAGGCGCTCCGATCTTCCTGGTGCTATATTGCCCGCGTCATCTGATGGATGACGGTGGCCGTGTGGGTTTGTTGCTGCAGCTCAGCCCATTCCTTTATTGGAGGGAGCGAGAGCACCCACGCCCGCGACAAAAGAAATGGCGGTTCCGCCAAGGAATAGTAACCTGGAATAGAAAAAGATATGGAAACAGAAATAAAAATAAGAACGGAATTACGAAAAAAAGGGGGATAAACAATAGGAATAACAACAGGGAAAAAAAATCAAATTGGAAAGCTTACAGCACCAACGATCCCACTTAATTTTCAGGGCCTGGTCGCCCGCGCATGCCATTTAAAGTATATTTTTACCTCGAATCCTACTTATTTCCGTAACTACGGGAAATTTTTTTATAGTACAGTGTTTTTTTTTTCGACCATTCCCGCTTAAAAGTATGTTCTTTAATTCGCATTTTACGTATCCCGCTAACACGGGGCATCTTTTACGGCGCAGTTTAGGTTTTTTAGGTTGTGACACAACGTATTTTCTCGGGCTCAGTCCTACCTTTCTCCGGAAGAATGGGGGCGAGGCCCAAAAATACGCGCGAGCTTCCCCCCACACAATGGCATGTTTTGTAGGCATACCAGATCACATGTCAAATAACCACCTACTTACCTACCTACTCCACTTTGACAAAAATCACGTCTTTCAACAACCATTGCATATCTCTAGCACTCCCTTATTCGACGAAATGGAGTTAACACGCAAGGCAAACGAGAAGGCCAGCATGAAGGGGAAGGCAAAAGCCAACAAAAGCAACAGCAGCAGCAAAAACAACAGCAACAACAACAACAACAACAACAACAACAACAACAACCACAACTCGGCAGGGTGCCGTGGTGCCGCCGCCACCTCATCCACAGCACCAAGCGGAGACGAGCCGCTCTTCTTCTTCAAGCCCGATGAGGCGTACGGCGAGTTCTGCCAGTGGTACCCGTCCAACTTTTCCGTCGCCAAGGCGGAGATGTCCCGGCTCGTCGGGCACCTCGTCGACGACGACGACCCGGAGGGCTGGGGCGTCGTCTACTTTTCGTGCGCCGAGCAGTTCATGATGTACTGCAAGGCGGGGCGGTTCCGGGACCGGGAAACGCAGGCGCGCGTCCTCGCAACGCGCGACCCGAAAGAACAGAAGCGGCTGGGCCAGGCCACGGCCGGGTTCCGGGCCGAGGAGTGGGACCCGGTCAAGAGCGCCGTCGTGATCGCGGGCAACATGGCCAAGTTTGGACAGAACCGGCACCTGAGGGACGTGCTTATGGGCACGGGAGACCGCCTGCTGGCCGAGGCCGCCTCGCACGACCGCGTCTGGGGCATCGGCTACACGGCAAAAGTGGCCGCGCAGCGGCCGCGGGAAAGCTGGGGGGAAAACAGGCTGGGGCTGGCCCTTATGGAAGTCAGGGAGCGGCTGCGGGAGGAGGGCTGACACGGGCGCGCTACTCGGTGGTATTGTTTGTGTTTGTAGTCCGGCAAACTTTGACGTCACAAAGGCCTCGCCCGAGTTCGAACCATACTTTGGACTCGGCCACCGCCACAGCGTCACCTTAAATCCTTTGCCATAAGTTACTAGCAGCCACCCGGAATTTTAAATCACGATAATCACCCGGTAACTGGGCACGTACGGCACGCTAGCCAAAAAATAACTAGGACAGTTAAAATTTGGCCTACCATACGTTTCGCCAGGGGGACCTCAATTAGTAAGACACCGGGTTTACAACAGTGTTAATTTTAATGTAGTTTAACGAATTCGGCTATCCTACTTAATTTACTTGTAAATCGTAAAAAATTTCAATTGCAAGTTAATCCAGGTTTGGCTTTAATTTAATGCACGGGCGGCTAATTAAATCTTTTCGCTGTGCACTACCTACGATACTAAAAATTAGCATCGCGATTGCAATTATAAACCTGTTAAGGGTTAATCGGTGCAGAGGCGGGTGGTTACCGGGTCACGGGCCGGATGCGGTATCTCCTTTGTCAGGCCTCCGTAAATCTCTTACCAAAGGTGCTATCGCCAACAAAGATTGTTCCTTTTCTAACCTTTTCCTCTTTCGTGCCCTTTTGGGCACCCGGGGTCGGTTTTTTAAATTTTCCGCGCTCCAAGCGTTTTCGTGCAATTTAAGCTTTACCTTATTTTTTAGCTTCGCCATTATGCTTTGGCCGCGATACCGGTAGCTTGCCGGCATGTCCCTAAGGGGTTCGTGCCCGGTTGGCTGCCAGCGCCCCTTC